CAAGGGCACTTGCATCCCTAATTATCCCCAATGGTACATCAACGCCGCAGGAAACATCATCACCGACCTGCTCGTCTTTGTATTGCCTCTCCCAGTCATTGGCAACTTGAAGCTCGCCCCTGGCCAGAAGTACGTTCTGGTCGGCATCTTCTGCCTTGGATTCTTGTATGTGCTCCAACATGAATCTCTATGGTGAACCCAGAACAACATCTAACCGTGTCGGCAGCACATGCGCCATTTCTTTTGTTCGAATCCGATTCCTCCACCAAGCCGAAGACTTTACCTGGGAAAACGTCGAGACAGCCGGTTGGTCTGTTGGCGAGCTCTGCTGCGGCCTGACCTGCGCGTGCCTCCCAACATTCCGCCCTCTTGTATCGAAGTTCATCCCCGCTCTTTCAAGCCGCATCACCAAGTCCTCCAAATACCAAGGACAATACGCCTACGGCTCCAGCAGAACAGCCGGCACCTCAAAGCACCGCGATGTCGAGCTTGCCATTACTCCGCCTCAAGGAAGCACAGGCGGCAGCCCGAACCGCTACTCAAAGCGAAGACCCGATTCCTCCGATAGCAAGGCCGATCTTTACGGCGCTGCGAGCTACGACCTCAGCCACACCGACTCGAGCCGCGACACGCCGCTGCCGATCCAAGGCACTTATCAGACGGACAGCGAGAGCGTGCCCTCGCCGATGATGTTCCGTCAGCAACAACACGATACGGTAGATGTTGGTGGATACGGGTCTGACCAGACCCCGATGGTGGAAACGCACATCGAGGCGGGTCGGAGGTATTCTGGGCCGGTGAGGAAACCGTCAGGCCCGATTGAAGTCCAGCATGACATCGTGCAGATTTCATCACCAAAAGTCGTTGAACCGAAGGGATTTTCATGAGCGTAGCCACTGGCGGGCGGCTCGTGTGTTCACTTAAAATATAATGTCAATGAGTTATTCCATAATCAAGATGTGTCGATTATGAAAGTCTCGTTGGCTCTTGGGAGTTATTGGCGCCGGGTACTTGAACTTTTTTGATGATACCATTATCTTCAGACCTACGACGTAGGTCCAGAATTCTTCACCCAGGACAGGAATAGTTAGTTTTCTAATGAACACTTCTCTTCTGATCGTCAATTGTGCTCAACACTCGAGTCCTTGCGCGATGCAACCTCGACACGCATTAGACTTTTGAAGGGGATGTTATGGATTACCCGCAGCGGGAACCAGTGTGCGGGAAGTTTATCGACCATGCCCTGCCAAGCCCCCTGCCACGACTCTAGCTTCCTTCATGTTAGCAAGGGCTCTCACGATCCAACTCGCCAAAAATGTCTTGCCTTGTCGCTAGGCAGCTGAAAGGATGCATTGTCAGGTCAAGTTGATAAATCTTTTCAGTAAATCTGTCTCTGAGCCTAGGAACTCTGGTTGCATTCCAATACCCGCTGACATCTGCGGCGAAGCTGGTGAAAGATCGTGAGCCGTTTCACGTCGCAGCATCGTCAAGTGCGCCTGAGCAGCGGTGCCTTGACACCCGGGTAAGGCTGGAGAGGGACGCAGATCTGGCAGGCCTCCAATAGATATAACGAATGCCAATAAGTTCGTGTTAGTAAGAGCAATTATATCAATGATGCGATTGATGGGCACACTGGTGGGGAGCTTTGAGATGCTGAAGACGTGGTGAGCCAAGTGTGACGCCCCTGCATGAACATCGTCAGGGGTTCTTGCGAAGGTTTGCAAGGCCTCGTTTTCTGCCAGAAACAGGTTCCAATGCTACACTCCCTTTTTGAGTATAACGCGAGACTGAAGGAGAGACAAATCAGCCAATTGGTACAAAAAGAATGATTCTCCCCTACTGGCTTTATCGATGTCAATTCGAGGGCAGCGACGTGCTTGTATGCTCAGTTGGGAGCTGGCATCCTGCATTTTCCAGAGACCTGCGATGAAACATCTGATAGGAGACTTGTATGACTTCAACGGGTTTCTACTATAGGGGTTTTAATTTTTTTGAACACTAATTATACGGCACGGAAAAAGCGATCTCAAGCTTGGATTACGAAAACACAATTGTGAGTTCTGGAGCGTCACATCTCTTTAGGGACTACGATGATTGCCTCAACCAACTGCAAGAGAGCACCTATGGGGGAATTCTGTGAGTGTCATCACTTCTGGAACAGAATTGATTCACGTCATGTGCTGTATGCTTCTTGATTGATCCTGTAGTCGGGAATCGTGGAACATATTGTCGTCACTCGTCACAGCGGCGAATGGACTGATCGAGAGTGTTGCTGACGGTGCCATTGTAGGGATGGATCACTCAAAGACTGTGGGACTACATGCACTCCACCTTCGACGTAAATGAATTCCAACAGGCTGAGAGCAAATGTCCTGAGTTTGAATAGACGTGCCTGCCTCCCAGCTTCATGAATAGATGCGGACATGATTGGTCCTTCGTCCCGCAACTTACGGCATATCAATCGGCTCACTGCTGAGGCGTCAGCACTTGTGCAGAGCTTATGTGATACTGTTACCTCAACTGCATGATTGCATCGCGGTAATTCTCATACGCCGAGACTTCAAGGGCACTTTGTAATGACAAATGGGTCGACGCTCAACGGTCGCGCATCTATCAGTTACATTGCATTTCCCCAGCCGGAATTCGCCCCGTAGATCATTGGTTGGCTGCATATGGGACCAACAGACTCTCCTGCAGCTTATGGTTCTGCGGTTCAAAAAGTGGCTCTCCTGTCGTCTGATACGAGCACTCGGATAAAAGACAGGTGGAAATTCTCCCTTGTCTCTGCGTCCGTCCTTGCATAACGCAACGTTGGCTGTCCGAATGCTTTACTCGCGGCGAGAGATGATAGGTTTGTGATGAGGGGCAGCTGGTTCAGGGCTATCGTAAACTGCCAACAGAGTGGTTCGGGGGCAACCGCTGTGTCAAATCTTGGCTGCATATAACCTGGGGCGAAGGAATCACACATGAAAATGCTGAATGGTTTATCTGGGCCAGTCTCCCCGTGTCTTTCGACTTGACGTAGCTTACCGCACTCTTTGGTAAGTGTCACTCGTCATGGCTTATACGTTCTTTGTTCCGCTGGCTATCCTTGCCATCATCGTCTTCAAACTGCGAAATGTTGGAAGACGACCCAAAGATTACCCTCCTGGGCCTCCCACATTACCTTTGATTGGGAATTTGCATCAAATGCCCTCAGCTCAACCGCATCACCAGTTCAGGAAGTGGGCAAAAGAGTATGGGTAAGTTTCACAATTGAAAAGGCGCGTTGGACCGATGTTCTGCTAACCACAACATTTTCGGCAGCCCTGTGTACTCCCTCATCCTGGGAACCCAGGTCATGATTGTGCTCTCTTCAGACAAGGCGGTCAAAGATCTTCTAGACAAGCGCAGCAGCATATACTCATCACGCACCGATGTCTATCTTGGAAATGTAGTCAGCAACAATCTTCGTGTGGTTCTCATGGTAAGTTCAAGTTGCCGATGGAGAGGGGATTTGGGCTTCAAACACTGACAGGTGAAAGAAATACGGCGAACGATGGCGAATGATCCGAAAAATATTTCATCAGGTTTTACATATCAGCGCAGCCAAGGGCTATGTTCCGTATCAGGATCTCGAGAGCAAGCAGATGCTTTCTGGCTTCTTGGACGAGCCTGGTCTCTTCATTGATCATCTTCGCCGTTTTACCAATTCTCTGACCACACAGATGGTGTTTGGGTTTCGAACGACGAGCATCCATGACGAGAAGTTGAAAAAGCTGTATCACTGCGTCGAGAAGTGGAGTGAGGTCGTAGGATCACAGACAGCCGCTCTTCTCGACGTATACCCGCCTCTGCGAAATCTGGGCTTCATCTCTCCTGGAAAGAGATACGCCGAGGCGCTGCACAAGGAAGAAAGTGCTCTATATGTCGGTCACTGGTTGGATGCAAAGAAGCGAGTTCTTCAGGGCACAGCGAAAGTGAGTTCCAAAGGTTTGACATGCCACCCAACCACACGAGTCTAATACTCAGTAGCCTTGTTTCTCTGTGGGGATTGTTGAAAGCCAGAAGACACTGGGCTTTTCTGACGAACTAGCTGGATATATCTCTGGTTCCGCCCTCGAGGCTGGTTCGGATACTACCGCCGCAACGCTGGTTGGTTTCATCCAAGCCATGGTTCTGTACCCTTCTGCACAGAAAAAAGCTCAAGAAGAACTCGACCGGGTGTGCGGCACTCAGAGACTCCCGAACGTAGATGACTGGGACTCAATGCCATACATCCGAGCTTGCGTCAAAGAAACTCTGCGATGGATGCCAACTGCAATTCTCGGTCTGCCGCATGCCGCCATTCAGGATGACGAGTACATGGGCTACAAGATTCCCAAAGGGGCTGGCGTTATGTTGAACGTTTGGGCTATCAACATGGACGAGGATAAGTTTGAGGACCCTCGGGCGTTTAATCCCTCTCGATACGAAGGTGACGATCAAAACTCTTTCGAGTCGGCGATGAATGGCGACCCCGCGAAGCGAGACCATTATGTGTTCGGGGCTGGCCGCCGTCTCTGCCAGGGCATGCACATTGCCGATCGATCTCTGTTCTTGAGCATTTCGAGGCTGCTGTGGGCTTTCAATCTTGATAGGGCGGTTGACGACACGGGGGCCGAAATTGTACCAGATGCGGACAATCTCATTGACGGTTTCCTGGTGCAGCCGAGACCCTTCCCTGCAAAGATTACACCAAGAAGCGAGGCACATTCGGAGATCGTCCGCAAGGAATGGGAGGCGAGTCAAGCACTTCTTGACGAGAGTAAACAGTGGAAAGAGATACCTCGTGGAATGGTGTTTGAGTCGCTGGTTTCGGCAGAGAAGGAATAGTGAAACTCCTCAAATACTACCGGCACTGAGCGGCATCCAGTTACATTATTCATGAACGGGTACAGACGGGCATTGCAAGGCTCTCATGGTCAATTCTTGAAAGACTTTATCTGTCACACTACGAACTCTAATTCATTGGACCTACATTATCGCGCTTGGGTATGACTCAACTTCAGCTCCGGGCCCAGATCAGAGTCCACGAAGCGCACCTTGTAGAGTTTGGCATGCTCATCCATCTGCGACAACCCATCCGCTTCTCTCAACTGTTCTCTTGACTGCTTATCAAGCCCATGTGCCAACCCTGCTAATGAGCTTCCTCTCCAAGCAGGAAGACCTAGTCGTTTTGTCTCGACTATGGACAGCAGACAGAACAAGCATCCTCCCAGAAGTGCCGCGATCGGTAGAGATAGAAATCCCCATTCGACTCGGATGAACACTATCCAATTTTGGGTCTCGCCTTCATTAGGCTCGGTTTCCAACGAGAGATCGCGTATGTACTTTGACATGCTGGCTGCAACTGTCTCAAAAGTGGTCGTGAGGTTCTTGGATGTACCCAAGCTGTCTATCACATGAGGTTGACTGGTACTTCCAGCTGCTGGGTAGGTGAGCTGCTTCGTTTCCAGAGGGCTTGCGCGGCGCGCGAATTCATTCATGAACAAGCCTGTGATAGACTCGGCGGCATTCTGAGAGATGTTGAACTTTACATTCTGTTCAATGTCCAGACCCGTGGAACGATGGTAATTTTCCTTTGAGATGAACATTTGCAGGTCGGTTCGGTTCATGTCCCTTTTGCCGTGGTAGAGGGTGTAGCTGCTGTTTGCATTGTCCCATTTTGAGCTGGCTGCATATTGAGGATCTGTTGCAAGCAATGAATCAAGATTTCGATCCGTATATGTTCCGAGAACGGTCTCTCGCAAGTCGCCTTGGACAATATCAGACTGGTAAATGTTGGTGCAGAAGTATAATGCGCATTCTTGTGCGGAAACACTGCTGTCCTCCCAAGGATGACCATTCTCACGGAAGTCCTGGTTGGCTTCCATCATTGCAAAAGAAACAATGAGCGTCTTGAAGTCCTGGAAGGAGAGCGTTTCCGATGGTCGAGATGTGGCTTTGGCTGACAACTCTGTGCTTGTGAAACCCAGATTCTTGCCCTGTATAGCGGCCAGACCCGCCGAGTCAATATTGGAAATGTTCATGTTCAACTCCTTGATGTCGTATCTGGTGTAAGTTGTGTTGATACTGGGTACCGCAATCGGAGAGAAAGAAGCAACGTAGTTGACCACGGTCAGGGTATCGTCTACCGCTTCTCCACTCACATTCGTCTTCCCAGCTGACTTGATGATGTGTTTTGATATGTCATTGCAAGCGCTGCATACTGCCAAAGATGCATATGGTGGCCAAGTGCAGTTTCCAGAGGAGCAGCTAAACGATGGTTTTTGTGCTTCTACCGAGCCCAAAGTCGAGAAACCTGACCATATCGAGGCCAGAGCACCAAAGTCGTATTTTGAACGCATTGACAGTAGCATCAATGTTCCATCGGGAGTATATACTCCTTCTGCAGCTCCTGTGATAGCCGAAAAAGATCCGATGTCCAGTTTGCTAGACTTGCCAATCGTTGCCTTCGAAATGGGATCCGTTACTGATACTTCTTTGCCCTCGAAGGTAATGATAGCCTGAAGAAAAGGCTCGAAGCCAACCAAGACCACGGTTGATAACGCCCCGAGTGCCATCCAGTGCCTATAATAAGATAATGTTACCACAACTGAAAGATTCGTAGGTCAGGACGTAATCATACCTGAGTCTTGACCACCAAAGCAATCTTACACCGCCCCATGGCCCCCTGCTTGCCTCCTCGAAACGATCGAATACCATGATAGTGTCATCTCTTCGCCGAAACCAGTTCCATTTACCTTGACTGATACAAGCACTGACTGCGAACGCAAGTGTTGCTCTCGATGTTGCCCCCAGGATTGAGACGACTGTGTTGAAGGAGTACTGAAACGACCATGTCGATAAGGGCTTGTTGTTGTAGAGGGGTAGGAGAATGGCGATCGCTGCTAGCGTCAGGATACTCAAAATGACCGCGCATATTTCGAGGATCCAATGATACTGGCTGCCTGGCAATGCTGCGCTTGCCTTCCGCAGAAGGCTCTGTTTCGAAGTTGAGGCTCTGTTTTCTACCCCCAGCCCGTAGTCACCTGGTTCCGAAGACGCGAATGAGGTAAGCCGTGGGACAGGTTTCCTCTTGAACTGGGGCGAAAGAGTTGATGAATCGTAGGTGCTATCGAGGTTGTCGGGGCGTGAGATGTGTGGCTGCTCGAGTGGCGAATGGTATCCGGTAGGAGTGTCGCGCATCTCAAAGGACTGCATTGAATGGTCGCGCATCGGATCCCTTGGTGTTTTCGACATTGTCACTCCATTTGCAAGGGCCTATCTGCACAGCTCGTGAGTTTACCATAATGATGGGGGAGGTAAATCATTTTAAACGACCACCGCATGCCCTAAATTAAGACATGACACTTCGGACTTCTAGCCTCTCCTGTGAGATTTTAGCTAGCAGTCTAGCGTTACACAGTCCCCCCTCTTGGCAGGCTGCCGCGAAATGGAAGCATTTGTTTGGTCAGCGGTTCTTCTAGTGTGGCGGTGAGTGCCACAGCATCGGAAAAAGCAATGTTTCTACACCAACCGAGCGTCGGGCAGCGATAGCACCGCCGCACTATTTTCGTAGAAATTATCTCGTTGCCTATTGGATCACCAGAGGCTGAAGTCCGAGTTCTCGTTTCCTTCTGGAGAACCCTCAGAACGTAATAAGCAGAGCTTTGCTTTTCGCAATCCGTAACGCGGTGGAAGCCAACGTTCTCTTCATCCTGTCGTGGGTCAAGGGGATATGGTCATTATTATGTACTGGATATTAAGGATGTTGATACAGATACTACTCTTTCATTGGATCCATAGCCGGCTCAAGCCCTTGGTCCTCCCTGGTCATAAGTCATGTGAAAATCCGTCGTCTTCCGTATCGCCCTTGCGTCCTCGACGTCTTCGCTCCTCCTCGCACTACTCGGCCCGCTGTCTTTTGGTATAGACTGGAGGATGTACTCCTCACTCGAGTCGTCTCCTAGTCTGGATCGGTTTGCGTGGACGCTTGTGAGGTGGGTCGCCGTCTTCTCCTCTCGCCCTTGATATGGGTGCCAGTCGTTGCGGCTGGTGCCGGCATGTGTGAAGTTTCCCTTGCTCGATCGAGGCGCTGAGCCGTAGCCAGAGCTGCCGTTTGAGGACCCTTGCTTGGATGCGAAGACGGTAGGGAAGATGTACGTCAGGGGGAGTCGGCACATGGGCAGGCAGGCGCAGATGATTGCCAAGTTGTCTTCGATCAGGGTCCAGAGGGTGGAAGCAATGTCAACTGTGTATTGTAAGTCAGCGTATTGAAGCCATTGTTTAACATTAAACATTCAAGTGATGACCTACATGTCGTATCAGGACTGGTAGTGGAAAAGTCCAATGTCGTCATACGCAGGATACTCGTGATCGTGACGAACAAGCCAAGAGCAAAGACAACCATGAGCGCCTTCTTCTGGTTGATCGGAAGCTTTGATTTCCAGAGCACATGCTGTGGCAGAGCCATAATGAGGATATCGGTGGCGATAGAGAAGCCCGCATTGGCGTACCAGTTCATGGTGAGACTGATGCAAGTTCCAGGAATGGTCTTGTCCCAAGCACGTGGGATGGGGGTGCACTGCCAAATGGAGGAGGCTGAGGTCGCGACCATGTACGCCAGGATTATGCTGAGGAGAGTGTAGCAGAGAATTCGGAAGTATCTTTGTACGAAGATGCGCAGATACAGCAGCAGGATAGATGCCTTGGTCAAGTTGATGGTGATTTTATAGAAGATTTGAGCGACATAGAAGAGCTAATCAAGGTCAGAAGACATTCAATTCAGGCTGGCCGATATATGCCACTCCGTTTCCATTATTGGAGACACTCACCTTCAATGTCATGATCTTATTAGGCTTGGACAGGTTCTTGATATGTTGACCAAAGCCATATTCGCATGAGACCATCATCAGGATTGAGACAAGTAGGCAACAGACCTAAATCATATCAGCTATAGTGATCGCGAATAACATCAAAAAGAACTCACAAATGAGAACAAGATCGTCCAGTCATCCCATCCCAACCCTGATCTCATCTTGATACGCGACCAGAACCGAATCCCGACGAAGATGGGCGTCAGGACGAAGAAGATAATAGCCGGCGCGCGGACCATGAGCGCATTGCTCTCGCCAGGAATGTTGCCGTCGACCATGGTGAACAATGTGCCTCGATCAAGCAAAGTCTGTTCGACAGTGTGCTGAGGCTGGCAGACCTCGAAGGGTCTGATCTGCGAGAAGGAATTCCAGAGAGCAACAAACGTCCGACATCAGCACAACCCGAACGGCCGGGATGAACGGGGCCTGGAGAACGGGTCTAGTTATATGTTCATGCCCAGGATGCCAGGCTCCTGCCACAACATTCCACTTGGGAGGGGTGTCTTGGTTTGACTTGCAAGAAAACTGGCCGTCCGTCTGGGCCAAGTACTCGGTAGGCATCCGGAGCGTTAGGGATGGACGGACTTTTCATTGGGTGGCCATGGCAGGGAGGATCCCTTCTCCATGCTGGTTGTCAGGTACATGTGCGCGTCCGCAGTAAGCTTCTTTTATTTTCTTTTGCTGCCGGCTCTGCAAGGGAGACGGAGATGATGGTGGTGGCATGCAACGGCTTGTCAATCTGCAGACTACTGCAGCGCCGTGAGGGGCAACAGTATCGGCGCCGAGAAAGTAGGAATCGGGCACATGTACGATGAGCGTTTGGTGATGGGGAGAAAGGGGCGGGCTGGGGGCTAGATGGATGCTGAAGATGCGAGGAGATGTGCAAAGAGCGGACGGTACTGAGATTACCGATCGCGAGAGAACGCGGGAGAGCCACCTTGGAATCCCTGCTCGCTGCGGTTAAAAGGAAGGGCCAGCATGGAGATGGGTACGAAAGTGAATGGCCCCCGATGTGTTCGGGCCAGAGTCCGAGCCGGCCTGAAGCTCCCACCACCATCAAACATCCGACTTTGGAGCACTTCAGGTTTCGGCGTTATCAAGATGTCGGCAAATGAAGACGGTTCGCTATTTGCAGAGCAATAGCGACCTAGCAGAAGCATGTGTATCCTCCTCGCAACACTTTTGTTTTGATGCGAAACAAGAGCGCGGTTTGACCCAGTAGTGAGGCGTAAGTTAGGGCTGTCACTGATAAGTTCCGCGAGGACTTTGAACGAATGAGCAGGTAAGATTCGTCCAAAATGACCATGCACGAAAGACGAAGGCTGCACACCACTGTAAGGGAGGGTGGGCAGTCGAGATTCCATGTTGAGAGAAGTGCGACGAACCTGTTCCTGGTAGTGATGATCTCTCTTTCAGCTGGCTTGTCCTCTGTTCTCCGATACCGTCTGGTGTAGCACGGTGTTGACTGGATATCGGGTTGCTGGACGATAGAGGCTAGACATCCCCTTGCAGAGCGGTAAGCCATTACCCAACTCGATCGTCGGCAGAAGTCTTACCAGGAGAAATGAGGCGCACAATGGTCTCGTACTGGTCTGGCAGGGTCTCAGATATGGCGTGGATGAAAATTTCTTCTCTGATTTCAGCTTTTCGTCAGCTGTCCCGATCCTCCGCCACCACTTCCTAAAGTCCCGAGTGTCCTCTTCTCGGAGGCCTAAAGGGCTGACGACTCCAGTTGTCTGGGCCTAGGAATTCATCAGATGAAGGCGGGGGTGACGGGACTCTACAGCGGAGCTGTTCCAACCGCAGTATTGATGAGCCGATGCGGCGCAGGTGATTCTTGCGAAGAGGGGGGTTTTCCCTTGTTGGCAGGGCCCAGAATCCTCCTACTTCCGCAGAGTTTTCACGAAGCTTTCCGCGCAACATCTGTTGGCGACGCTGGTCCGGCAACGGTCGCACATGTCAGATCTCAGTAAGCTGCTCGAACACATCAACAGCTGAGGACGACATCTTCGAACATTGCGCGCCATTGTCTTCTCTACAAGGCATGTAGTTCATCTTGGATGAACTTGACGATGGCAGGGTACCATCAAGCATAGTTCGTTTAAAGTTCCCGCCGTATCCGCATCGCCCGAAGACCACCAGTCTGTGCGCCCTGAGATCATTAATAGCTGGATACTAGAGCCCTAATATCGCATCCGATTAGTGTGTTGTGGGCGGCGGAGGGCTGAGTGGCGCCAACGTCCGGTGCGCATTCCCGCTCCCGCGAAGTCTGTACGGCGGGTAGCCAGCCCGTTCATTGTCGTTGCAGCCGAAGAAGCCGATTGAGATCTCACACCCGAGGAATAGCTCGACAATAGTCGCAGCCACTTCGGAGGAATTGAGATGAAATATAGGTGTGCGTGAAAGCAGCATAGGTCCAGCGATACCACCTACCTCTGGAAGCAGGCTCTTCGCATCTATTACGTCTATTGGCGATGAGCGACCAACCGCTTCACCTTAATGCGTTCATGATGAAGGTCAATAACACCTCGGTCAGTGACCTTGCTCGGCCTTGGGCTTCCTCTCTCGGAAGCGATGTTCACCAACATGTGGTGTGGTTTGCGCGGCCCGCATCATGGAGTCCCCAGGGGGTCTTTTCTCTTGCATGACAAGTCCTTTTGTCTTCATTTCTCGTCTGCTGTTCTCTCGGTGCTGCAGAATTCAGGGCTGCGAATCCTCCTCGTCTGTCCTTCCCTTTCGGGCCACCGGCGATGCAGGTGACGAAGGTGTGAAGAACTTCGGTTCGCGAGAAGAAAAGATCACTGGCCTGTGTCTTCGTCCCCCCGATCTGCTGGCCCTAATTGTGGCTTAAATGACACCCAAGCCTGCCGGTGCAACCCCCAATACGCTGTTCCTTGGGCTTGACAGGGAACATTCGGACAAAGACACCCTTCTGAGAGAACGGCCCATCCCATCATTGGCGGCCGACCGCGGGTCGACGGGACGATGCGCTAACGCTGCGGACATCCTGGTCGTCCGCCGACTGCTCCAGATGAGCTTCTGCAGTCCAAAAGGAAATTGATCTCTGTTGTTCACCTGAAGATATGACCAGACTGCAGTGGGCTCGCTCCAAAAGTTCGCGAAGGAATACGAGGAGAAAATTTTGATATTAGCCGGGATGTTCTTAGGTGTGTCGCGTACGGTCAAGGTCCAGCAACACTTACAGCTTTCACATATTCGTGGGAGAGAGATGGAGATGTGTTCAGAGTCTTCGGCTGCTCCAAGCTTGATGAAACGCACAGTAGACATGTTTCTCCGCGAACCTTCATATATGCTGCACAAGTCTGCAAGAGCATCCACATGTCATTGCAGCCGACAGGCTGGGTCGATGAGATGAAAAACAGG